GACCATACATATGCACAAAGTGTCTATGGGAAAAAAAACCCAACAGTAAAAGCAGTGATAGCAGCAGCCTCAGGAAAAAATACACACAATCACAATACATAAAATATCAAAAATATTCAACCTTACCACACATTATCAATGAAGGGAAGGCATGAAATAGCATTCATCTTTAAAGAAAGGCAAAGTATAGGAAGACACACTGAGACATGAACCAACCACCTATACAAGGAATTGATCAGGCTCCGGGGGGAGGGGGGTTCAGCTTCTCCTCAAGTCCCAGCCACCTGGCTGTTTTGCTGAGGTAAGGGAGATAGAAAGAGACAGGTAAGGAAGATTAGAAAGAGAATCCTACCCATAAAGCAAGTCCAGGCATAACCCTTCCCTTGCCGCCAATTGAGAAACAGGCTTTAACTAACTAACTAAACCACAGCAACTTCTCTAACTACCCTCTCCCCAAAGAGGGAACTTCCAGCTTACCTTTGATCAAAAGTAAATTATGAGTTTTTGGTGAGAATGGGCTGGAGGCCAAAAGCCAGAAAGTGGCCAGAAATCCTAGTTGGGCAGCAGGTCACCTCCAGCATCTGTCCCATCTGAGTCACAGCACCAAAATTGTCATAGGAAAATTCTAATAAAGAAACAAACGACAGCTATACAAACAATAATTCTTACTTTAAAATCACAGGGTTATTGTTTCTAATAATTTGGAATAAAAGAAAGAAGCAGAAGATATAAAAGATATAATAACAATAGTGCACTTACTAGTGCAAGCCATTGCAATGGATCCAGAGATATAGCAGTTCCTTCAAGGATTGCTATTAGGCATAGGACACCATTCTCATTTTAAGCCACATTTTTAGACTTTCTTTTTTACTGACATATGCATTCCACAGTTTCATTTCCTTGTTCTTTCTTTCTTACTGATTGTCACTTTCTGTAAACACCTGTGTACATTTGAAACTCTCAGACACTTGTTACTATCAGTTCCTTGTTTTCCACAGTCTCATTTTCTAAATATATCTCTAAATATAAATATATTTCTAAATATATTTGTACCAGTACATACTTTCCAGAAACATATCACACAAGTCAGCACATTAGAAATATTTCTAATATATTTTGCAATTTCCCCCAAAGTTTTTTTATTTTTTTATATACAATAAATCTATTTCATTTCAATCGTGTGTGGATTAGGTATATATTTCAGTTATTTAACCATTATTGATAATCTTCTTCTTATCAAATTTAACAATACAACAATAATCACATTCCCATGTAAATAATATAAATGAAGTCCAATATATCTATTACATTAATTTCTCTTATTACTCTATAAATACATCCAATTTCTTTTAATTTGTTCTATTTTCTATCCATTGATAAAACAAATTCCATACCATATAATATTCAGATTCTTCTTTTTTAGTGTCATTCTATTCATTTCTGTGCATTCAAATATTTTTTCAATTATTTTTCCCTCTATTGGTATCTTATCATTCTTCCAGTTTTGGGCAAATACAATTCTAGCTGCTGTTAAAACATGTATAATTAAGTAAATCTTTTCTTTACCTTTACCTTCTTTACCTTCTGGTACTATTCCTAATAGGAATATTTCAGGCTTCAAATCTGTAAGTTGTTTAATCATTTTTTCAGCCATCTGTGTATTTTAGTCCAATACCTTTTAGCCTCTGTGCAAGTCCACCACATATGATAATACGTTGCTAAGTGTTTGATGACATTTCCAACATTTCATTGATTTATCTTTAAACATTTTCCTTAATCTTGCTTGCGCTAAATGCAATCTATAAAATATCTTATGCAAATTCTCCTTTTATGCTGTTGATATTGTGAATTTGTAATTCCTATCCCTTAATTTCTGTCATTTATCCAATTCTATAGCATATCCAAAAAAAAAAAAAATTGCCCATGCTATCATTGTTTCTTTAACTTGTTCTTCTTCCAGCTTGACATCCAATAAATAACAATATAATCTTGTAATTAATTCATCCTCTGTTCCTGTTAGTATTTTATCCAATTCTATTAACTCTTTATTGATCCCTTCATTTTTGATATCTTTTTCATACCTTGTTTGTATCTGCATATATGAATGCCATTCTATTTTTAATCCTTGTTCATTTAATTCTTGTTTTATTTTGAGCTCACCCTTTTCATTTAAAATATCTTTGTATCTAGTAATACTTCCCATTTTACAAACATTTGGATATACAAGTGCTTCTGTTGTTGATAACCAGATTGGTATCTTCATATAGTGTTGCTCCCTAGTTTTTCCCATATACATAACAATCAGTGTTGGGTTTCACAATTTTTTACTACCAGTTATGTGGGCGTGGCTTGGTGGGCATGGGCAAGGGAAGAATATTATAAAATCTCCAGTCAGAGGTGGTATTATCTGGTTCTCTGAACTACTCAAAATTTCCACTACCAGTTCTTTGGAACTGGTCAGAACTGCTGAATACCACCTCTGGTAACAATGCATTCCTGACCATACGTCTTGGAAAATACCTATGTGTTTTCCCTTTCCTATACCATAAAAATGCATGCCAACCCATTTGTAAATCATATCCTTCCAACATTAGTAACCTTTTATTCCACAGCAATATCTATTCTTTCATCCATGTTAAGGCCGTGGCCTGATAATAAATCTTCCAATTAGGTAAACCAAATCCTCCTCTGGTTCTAACATCTGTAACATTTTAATATTAATACATGTTTTCTTCCCTTGCCATATATATTTTGACACCATTTTATTAATATCTTCAAAATAATTTTTTTCTAGCTTTATTGGAATTCTTTGAAACAGATCCACATCTTCATGTCAATTGTATTCCTAAATATTTAACTTTTTATACAATCTGAATATCTGTATTCTTTGTCAATTCTTTTTTCTGTTTCTCTGTCATATTTTTCACCAATACCTTTGTTTTCCCTTTGTTTATTTTTAATTCAGCTATTTTCCCATATTCCTCTATTCTATTTATCAGCTTAGGTCCTGTTCCTAGAGGTTTTTCTAGTATAAAAACCAGGTCATTTGCACCTTTTATCTCTTTATCTTTCCTAACAGCTCTAATTAACACTTCTAAAGTTAATATGAACAGCAGTGGCAATAAAGGACATTCCTGTCTTGTTCCTTTTTCAATATGTATTTTTTCAGTCAACTCCCCTTAATCAATACCTTTGCATATTGTTTATAATATATAGTCTTAATCATATTTATAAATCTGTCCCCAAATTCCATTTCCTTCATTTGTTTCAACATAAGTTGCCAATTCACATTGTCAAATGCCTTTTGTGTGTCCATCCTGCTTCTCAGGATGTGCTTCATAATACTCCAGCGTATTTAAAATTATTCTCATATTGTCTCTTATTTGTCTCTTAGGTAAAAATCCATTTTGATCTATATGTATAAAGTAACTTAAATATCTCTTCAATCTTTCCACCATTATTGACACAAATATCTTACAATATGGAGTTCAGAAACAATATTGGCCTGTAATTCTTCACTTGTTGTAAATCAATATCCTCTTTTGGTATGAGGGTATATATGCTTCCATCCATGAGTTAGGTATTTTAGCTTTAATCAGAATTTCATTTACAACTTCTAGTAACATGTCACTTATAGTATCCTATAGCATTATACATTTCTGCTGGCAGGCCATCCTGATGCTTTCCCATTGTTTTGTCTTTGTCTCTGTTAATTCCATCATCATAATTTTCCCTTCTAACATCATTTTAGTTTCTCCTGGTACTTTGGGTAACATTTTCTTTAAGTATTCCTCTATCTCTTCTATTTCCACTTGTTCTTCTTTGTATAGTTCTCTGTAATACTTTTGTATTACTTCTTTTTTGTCCCCATTTCTATGACATAGATTCCCTTTGTCATCCATTAATTTCTTTTTCTTTTCTTTCTCTTTTTAAAATTTGTATGCCAACCATCTTCCTGGTTTATTTGCATTTTCAAAAAAGTTCTGTTTAGATTGTTTAATTTTTTGTGCTAGTTCTTCTTTATCTATTATTTCCAGTTTATGCTTTGTCAAAGTCATTTTATTTTGAATTCCTTTCCTTTGCGGATTTTTCTGTAATTCTTCTTCCAATCTTTAATAATCTTCTAGTATTTCTTGTGCCTGTCTTTTTTTTTCTATTTCTCTTTCCAATATATGTTATTGTTAGTCCTCTTATATAAGCTTTAGCTGTGTCCCACATATTTTGCAATGAAGTTTCTTCTTTTTTTGTTTTGTTCAAAGAAAAAAATTAATTCTTTTTCCATGTGTTCAATATATTCTTTCTCTCTCAATATTAGATTGTTCACTGTCCATCTTGACCTCTTCTTTTGTCCTTTCCATACTATCTTAATCAGATTGTGATCAGCCCATATATTTGTTTCTATACTTATATCTTATATATTGGCAATTATTTCTGTTGTTGCCCACATCATATCTATTCAAGATCAAATGTCTATTTGAATAAAATATATATTGTCTCTTTTCTGGGTGTCTTTCTTTCCATGCATCTTGAATTGCTAATTCTTCAGCCATTTAAAAAAAAGGTCTTAGGTAATATTTTTCTATTCCTTTTGTTTGTCTTTTGTGTTTTATAGTCCTTTTTGACATCAACTATTGCATTATAATCTCCAATAATGCAAATGTTCATATTCCAGTTCTATTATTCCCTTATGTAATTTGTTGTAAAATCCTTCTTGACTTTCATTTGGAGCATAGATTGTCACTAATGAGGTCCTTTTATAGTTCATCAACATTTCAACTATTAAAACTCTTCTTTCCTCATCTTGATAGCTTAATTCCATTTTTATAGTGTCTTTTATGTATAATGCTATTCCTCTGTTGTGCCAATGTAGAGTATAATTTCCCAATCTTAGGATGGTCTAATATTTTCTCATGTTGTTTTTTAATGTGCTCTTGTTGTAGGCAAATTATATCCAATTTTAATTTCTCTAATTTATTAAATATTATTTTTCTTTTAATTGCCCATTTATATCAAGCATCATTAACTTAATTTTGTCTTCCATGGTTTTATTTATGATAGGGTCTAGTTGATCTTGTTGCTCTCATATCTCTTTGCTATTTTTTCTTTCCTCTTCCCTAATGTCTTTCTTCCACTTCTTTTTCTTCCTCTCTTTGTTGTCTCTCTTCTCTCCCTACAGCTTCTTCTCATAATTTTATTACTTCCATCTTCTCTTTTCTCCTTCATATTCTCTAAAGTATTGATCATAGAATAATTCTGCTTTTTCAATTGTATCTAGTCTATGTCTTTGCTCTTGCCATGTCACCATTATTCCTTCTGGTATCAGCCATCTAAAATTAATTCCTCTTTTAATCAAATATTTTGTCAAGAACTGATATTCCTTTCTTAGATCTCTTACAGTTCTAGGTATTTGCTTCAACACTGTTATCACCTTTCCTTTGTATTTTAATGGTTCATCTTTCACCACCTTTAATATCTATGTTCTTATAGCCTTCTTTGTAAATCTTATGTGGACTTTTCTTGGCAGTTTGTGTCTCATTTCATATCTAGTCTGAACTCTGAAGATTTCATACATATCATATATTATTTTCTCCTTTGTCTCCTCTCTGGCTGCTGCTAAAAGATCTGCCATTATATCTGCCAAATTTTCTTCTTTTTCTTCTACGTTTTTCGAATCTTAAATAATAATGTCCATCTCTAACATGATAATTTTCTTTTCCTTGACTTGATCGCATCTTGATAATTTATAGTCCATTTCTCCTACTTTTTGTTCTATTACCAATGTTTTTTTCTTCCATTTCCCCATTCTTTTTTCATTCTTCTCCATCATTTATTCATGTTCTCTATTTTCCCTTCTACATTATCTACTTTTCCTTCCATCTTCCCTACTTTTTCATCTATTTTTCCCTATTTTTTCATCCATCCTTGCCATTTGGTCTTACATTGTTTGTAGTTTTAATTTCCACTGCCTTTAGTTGTCACTGTCTTTTGTTGTTGGACAATCAAATCGAGAATGCTCTGATGTCTTGGGTTGGGTGCCACTGAAGATTAGGCTGAAATTAGTGCAGATGCTGCTGTTTTCTTCATCTTGAACTGTTAGGGTTTTTTTATACCTCTTATCAATTTGTAATCCACAAGATTTTTCCCAAGGAAGCAAAGGAGAAAAAAATAGAAGAAACGTTTCTTCAGATTCTTCTACACCTTAATCCACTTTAGAGAATTACTGTATAATCCAACAGAGAGATAACAAAAAAAGAAAGAAAATCACCAAGGGAGGCTCAATTAAAAGAGAGCCCAAAAAAGAGAAGAAAAAATAAGTCCAAATCCAAATCCAATATATTCAATATGTTCAACAAAAAGAAAGGAAGAAAGAAAAAGGAAAGAAAGGGGAAAAATCAATTCCAAATGATATTTAGAAAAAGAAAAAAGAGAGGTGGTACAATCCAAATCAGAGAAAGAAAGAAAAAGAACAAAGCCAATGTCCACTGTTTCCTAGTATGATTTGATTGTTGATTGTACCCTATGACTATCATTAAGTGTTGTATGTTATGATTCTTGATTCTTAATCCTTATCTTTTCTTTATGTATACTGAGAGTATTTACACCAAGACAAATTCCTTGTGTGTCCAATCACACTTCGCCAAAAAAGTATTCTATTCTATTCTATTCTACTCTACTCTACTCTACTCTACTCTACTCTACTCTACTCTACTCTACTCTACTCTACTCTATTCTATTCTATTCTAAT